TCCCAAATAATACCTCTTTGTGTTGGCCAGAAATTCCTGTTTTCCTATGAATATTAACAGCTTCAGCTCTTTGCATTTACCCTTTGGTCAGGAAAATCAATTTGCTCTTGAACTTCAATAATTTGTTTTTAATTCTACTGGCCACGTGTTGTGTTCTTAATCACAAAATGCAAATAATAAAAGTAACCAAAACTGTTTGGGTTTATAATACATACAAAACTTACAAAGAAGTATATACGTACATCTACAAAAATATCCCCCCAAAATTACAGCTGCAAACACTTAGCTACGAACCAATCTGAAAACATCTACATTTGTTTCCCAGAAAGAACAGAGAGATTGTTGTGGCTTTTTTTCCATATTCCTGAATGAGGCCAAACCAAAAATCTGAGGACAACACCAGCTGTTACATCACTCTCCACTTGGAGTAGTACATGGTTAATGCCTGGCACTGGGGACAAATTGAAAATGCTCAAGTGTGACACTTTAGGTTTTGCAGAGGAAGGAAGGAAAAAAAATCTGCTAACTTCACTCACCTCATCATTCTCTAAGAAAATTCATCTAAGAAAACTTAGCACATTCTGCTGCAACATGAGGGAAAAACCTGAATTCCAGAAAAAATGTTTACTTAATACTTTTAATTGTATCTTTTATTACTCCCTCACTTGGTCTCTCCCTTTTCCTCTGTTTTGTTGTTTTTGTTTTGTTTTGTTGCTTTGTCATTTGTCTGTTTTGTTGTTTGATGGTTTTCCTAGATTCTTCAATGAATGGAACTTAATCCTTAGCATTTACCTGTTTTTCATACTCCTCAGTACTCAAGGAACACTTGCGAACTATTTCTTTTAGATCAAATCACTCGAAGATTTAAAGTGTGTAGCTAAATATGCAGATGATGTTCATTTTTTTGGTAGCCAGCCAACCAGTTAGATAGTGGGACTAGTTGGAGCATTTATTGAGATAACTCAAAAGGTAATTGATTGGAACAGTGGTTTGATCCAGCAGAGGAAGTTCCATTTTGAATACCACCCTCGGGATTCTCCCAAAAGCGTTGGTTTTTTCTCAGACATAGAAAATGCCATACATTTTGTGATATCTGTTAGCTTTCCATGTAATTAAATTGATAGGCATTGTATTCATTGGCCTCACATTAGAAATTAGCACAGCTCATGAAGAAACTGTAAGTCTAGCTCTCATTCATTTATGTGCATTTACTAGTGTTGAGCCATATAAGTAAGTTCGATTAGGACCCACTAAAAACATAATATCTGTTATTGCCCTTCACAGTTGTAGCTTCCTAGATTTGGACTGTTACTTGGGTCTGTTTGATCAGTGTTCTTCCCAGAGACAGTTGTTTTGAGAGAATAGATCACCATGTGTCTGAGGACATCAGGCACCTGATTGCCTGGCATACATGAGGTGGCTGCCCAAATCTCTCAACGTATGTTTGAATTTTAAAGAGAAAACAAAGGGAAACTAATTGGCTGCTTAAACTTGGCCATTATTCAGGGTTAGCAAACAGGAAATAATTAAAACCTGGAGTTTATGTTAATAACCAAGGAGGAAACTGAATGAATTCCAACTTGTTAGAATTTGTCATTGGTTTACTTTTATGGCACACACTCCCTTTTTCATTTGCGGTACTTGTTCTTATTTTTAAAAAATTAAAAATGAGTCAGAAATAATTCTCAATTTAAAATTTAAGCCAAGGGTCGCCTGGGTGGCCCAGTCGGTTAAGTGTCCGACTTTGGCTCAGGTCATGATCTCACAGTTTGTGAGTTTGAGCCCCACGTTGGGATCTGTGCTGACAGCTCAGAGCCTAGGGCCTGCTTCGGATTCTGCATCTCCCTCTCTGCCTGCCCTAGTTCCCCCTCCGCCCCGCCTCAAAAATAAAACATTAAAAAAGTAAAATAAAATTTAGGCCAAAAACTATGACTTGTTTAATACCATCAGACATGCCTAAGATTGACATAAATCCAGAAACAGGTATAAATAACCTCTATAAGTAGACATTTGGGGACTGTAACAATAACAAAATAGCCATTTTGTACCAGTGTAGAAATGGTGATTTTTTTCAAATGTCTTATGTTCTGATATGTAAATTGTATGGAAAAGTTTGTTTTCTCAGTTATGTTTGGAAGAATTCTCCTTAGCCATTTTTGCTTAAAATTGCCTTTAAATCAGTGCATTAAATTGATTTTTAGAATTAATTGACTTAATTTGAAATCAGTGCTTCAGTTGTTTTAGAATCTATACCTTTGTCAAGATTACATTACTAAACCCAAGGAAAAGGTACTTTTATGAAAAGGAAAAGAGAAATATGCTAATTAACTACCAAAATTGATTTATTTTCATTTTCGTTTTGAATTATATTGTCCTTGAGTACTGTATGTGGATTTCTGCCCTGTTGACCACTGCTGACTGAAGAAATCTAATACTAAGCCTGTTTTATTTTACTTAAATTTCAGTAGTTTTACATTTTCTTTTTTGGAACGTGTAAAATCAGTTAAACTTTAGGGACATATCCAAATTAAGAGTTTCTCATTTTGTCTTTCATGGACAACTTTACTTTGTTTTGTAGGCTGTAGGCTGATGCAGCCTGACAAATATTTGCTTATGATTAAAAACTTGTGTTTCTATCAGGAGATATTCTTATACTGCCAGAGTACACTTCAATAATATAATCACTTTATACATGCTATCAGTCGTCATGCATTGTGGACCGACTAAGTCTGGTGTAGAGTGACTAGAATCTTTATTATGGATTATAAAGTCCACAAGATCTTGCTGAGGGCTGCTGGAATGCAGACTGGCTGTCACATCAATTTTCTTCGCCTATTCATCCCACCGTATTCTGATAGGTTAAAACTGAAGGGAAGATGGTAAACAACGAAAATGGACTAACATGTAATATAGTAATTTATACATCACTAGCTGTGTGACCCGCATATGTTATGTTGCCCACTCTGAGCCCACTTTCTTCAGGTTGAGAGGCAAGTGCCAGGGAGGGTTTGGAGGAGGATTTACGTGAGATAATTAATGTTAGAGCACCTGGTGGCACCTGGTTAATGAATAAATATGTCAGAAAAAAATGTGAAGGCAGAAAGGATTGATTTTGATTGCCTCCACTACGAAGAAATTTAGCACACACACAAAATAAACATTAGCCAAAACATGTGAACAGCTGTGTTTAGAACTCTGCACCATCTAAATCGTCTAAATTCTAAGGAAACCAACCATATTGCTAATTAAATCTTCACTAACGTACCCTTGTTAATTTTCATTCAATTTTGTTACATGTTAGAGTTCAGGATCTGTTCTGGGCAAAAAAATACTTAGTACGGTGCCCATTTTATAACACATGGAGGCAATTTTCCTATAATAACAAAACCGTTATGGATTTTTAGTTGCAGCCTTTTTGCATAGTGTTGCTCATAATTAGTACTTTTTGATCATGAATCCTTGATTTGGGAACAACCCAATTCCAGCATTTTTTGTAGTTTGTTAAGTGCTTTCAAGGAATATTTTGAAGCTAATATGTAAGCTCCTTGTATCAGTTTGGCTTAAAGTAGTCCCCTCTTGTAATAGCACAGCTCCAGGTGGCTTCTTTCCCAAGACACCTGGACATTTCCCACATGTTACCTCTAACTCTTCAGCTGCACAGCCTGACTCTACAAGCTTTGCCCTCAATCCACCCACATTAGAGTCCATAATAAAGCTGATCCATCACTTACCCTTCACTTAGAAAGAATTGGCACAAGTGATCACAAACATTAAAATCTTTGGCAACATAAACATTAGAACAGCTAAGCTGTAATGAAATTGGAAACCAAAATCATGAAAGAATGAGAAATAGTATGTCTTAGTTTGTGTGCTGTCTTTCAACTAAAATGTTAAGACCTTTGGAGGACAGCTGTGTTTTTGTGTATGTGTTTTACAGTATAACTTTGTCATAAGATTTTGCCAATATATTACTGACTGAAGCAAACTTTTTTCATCAATGTTGCTTAAGAAAATAAAAAATAAGCTGAGAGGGAAAGCTGAGATTACCTAGTTGCTTCCCCTAAGGTGGTGTGCACCCCATGTGGTATACAAGATTAGCCATAGGAGTACAGGAGAAAATTTTAGAGCTTCTTTTTAATTTTAACAGTTTCTATTTCTACTTTTATCTGTTTAATTCATGCACATAATTAATAGAGGTAGATACTTAGTCATATATTGAGGGGAGTGGCTGCTTAAAAGCAGATTTCATGAATGCATAATCAAAAAGGTTCAAAGATCACTCCAGCAGACACTAAGGGAGAGAGACTGACTCATTCTTTGCCTTGAAGTCATTTATCAAAAGAAAAACACATATTAAAGGGAAAACTATTGTATATATTTTACATTTTTAAAAATACCTTTGCATTAAGTTTTATATTGCTTCTATGTTTGAATAATGTCAACTATTTCTATAATTTCATCTATGTCCTTACGTGTTATCCATACTCATTAATACTTAAAGTAACTGCCAAAAACAAAGTTCAAGAGTGTTGTTTACTGATGTGCCTCTCATTGCTAGGGCATCATTCCTGAAGTGGCTCACATTTAACAGGGATATTTTGTTGGCTGCTTCTTACTTTCATCATTGTGGTAATGAGCTATAATTAACTTTATTGAGGTAATTGAGTATGTATGCAATCATTTTAAGAGTTTATGTATAATATATAGAACTTGGATTGGGCTTGTAGAAATAAGGTAGTAAAAAGCTTCCTCTTGAAAGTGTGATGTGAATTACTTTTGCCTTAGGCTAATCTTGAAAGAAACCTCTCTGATGGTCTCCCATGAAGAAGTAATTGACCTTGGCTAGGTCCAAGGTAGAGTATGTTTCATTAACCTTGCTCCTTTGTGAAATTAGCTCTAATGTGTCAAAATAAAATTTCTGACAGGCAGAACAGAATTTTAGTAAAATTGACATGTCAAAATATTAACAGAAATTAATTCAGAATTTATTTTCCTTTTAGTTCGCAGGAGGATGAAAGACCTATGTCACCTTTCTATTTGAGGTATTTATTTGATTTTTGTTGTTCTGTTACAGGGAATGGAGGAGGGCTGAGGTTCCTTTGAATTTATTTGCCCATTTTAATGCTTTTCAATAGAATGTTCTACACTATGGCCAAACTAAGCTTATTAGAACTCTTCATCATATTGTTCATGCTGTGTTTTTCTTCTCTTTGGTTTAAGAAATCTTAAATTAACAGAGCTGAAAAGATTAAGATATTTTGTTTTAAATCCAGAAATGCCAAGGTAGCCATTTTAATTTCAGAAACCTCCTGATGATTAGGCTGTTACCTGTGTCTTAAAAATTTCTATTCTATACATATATGCAGATGGGGGAGGGGTGTGAGCACAAGGCTCATTGGCTGAAAAAGTCTTCGGCTATGTTAAGTGTGAAAGTAAGTATTCAGTGAGTTGATGGAATTTAGGGCTATTTGCTAAAGCTTATAGAGGCAGAATAACAGCTATTACAACAGGTAAATTTACAGAATTCAAAGTAGATGTTAACTCTTTCCTCAATTGTGAAATCTACTTTTTTAAAAGAAATGTCAGGATGTGTGATAAAGAGTTTGTTTATTTTTTAATCTGATTTGTTGTAATAGCCCCAGAGTTAGATTTAGACTTTAATTCAACCAACAATAGTTCAGAAATGTGTCATAGGACTTCAGTCTTAGCCAAGTGATTGCTTTTCAGTACTGTTTTGTCCTTCAGCAACTTGAAGCATATTGCATAATCACTTTGTGGCAAAAGAGAGAACATTTGAGGTTTTAGTTGAGACAACATGGTGGTCCATTTGAGTCACTCTGGTTTCCTGCCAATCAAATCAGCATATTCTACTTCATAGGCTACCTCAACTATACAATTACCTTAAACACATGAGGAAGTTGTTGCCCAGTATGTGGTGACTCTGGTATTCATTATGTAAATACACACAGTAATATCAAACAAATGATTATCATATATTAATGGAAATTAAATTTTACACAATACAAAAGACTACAGCACTAGATCATGCCAACTAATGAGAACTGTTCTCGGAATGTCTTATTTTTATTCCTCTGGGCAACATCAATCTATGTTTTACATAGTATTGAATTTTATTTTTTTTTAACCATTTTAAAAAGCAGATGGAAATTATGTCTTAAGTCCTTAAAGAGACATAATTGTGTCTTCTAGTGTGATAATTTTTAAAAATTATTTAGACTAATTATTTAGTCTTGAAAAAGAAATTCTATACTTGCAAAATGAAAGTAAAAGAATGTAAAGAAAATGTATTTACCACAACTCTTGGTTGAGGCTATTTGACCTTTCAATGTTAAATGTCATAAAAACTAAAATATTATAGAAGTAGGAAAAAATAATGAATGTGCACGCTAGCCCACATTACAGGAGAGCTAAAGTTGCAGAAGAAGGAAGTTACAAGCAGACGCTGTTTTGAAAATTTAACGAAGTAGAGCTGTATCACAAATGAAATAATAATTATTATTTGGCCTGAAATTACAATCTCAAATGTAGTTTATTTTTCTGAATAACATTATATGATAGTCTTAGAAATTATTTAAAAACTAGGTTCATACAAGTTAATTTAACTTTTTTTATTATCTACTTGACATGAAGTAGGGAGAATCTCTTAGTAACACATGAACCTGTTTAGAGGGAGTTTTTTTGGTTTTGTTTTCAAGTTATTTGCATGGCTGGTTTGAGATTAACTTTTCTTGGGTTACTCTAGCATACAGAATTCAAGTGGAAGACAGAAAACATGATTGTTAACTATGATTACAGCTCTTCCAGATTTTTGAACTAGAAACATAACATGTCCACTGCTAATTTAGTTTATAAATTAGTGCACTTTTTTGACACTACCTTTAGTAAGAACAAATGAATGCTTAAATGTTTTAAATATATTAAAACTTCTGTAGCTTCTTTATCTCCCTTTCCCTCCTACTTTATTAAGATTTCATTCCTACAGTGCTCAGAAAGGGGAGTTAACTGTAAGACTTACGAATTTCGTAATGATTTGTCACCATGATGAAAAACTAAATTGGCTCTTTAAAATCCCAAAATTATATTTACTGTGCCTTTGAAAAGTAAAAAGTGACTGGTAGTTGCAAACTGATATCTTCCCTGACTAGGAATGTTGAATATTGTGTGCTGTATATTATATTTTGACATTGTTAACTGGTTGTTGTTGTTGTTGTTGTTGTTGTTGTTGTTGTTGTTGTTTTTGAGGGGGGTAGAGACAGAGAGGAAAGGTCCAAACAAGAGATGAGCACATCAGCTGAGATGGGCACTCAGCAGAAGTAAATCCAGCCACAGGCAGCCAGCCAGAGGGACGGGAATGAAATAGCGGGTCAGTGGCAGGAGATTCAGTTGGTGGTTTATTCTGTAAGGTCCAGCATGAGGTAGAATGGCAAAACTCAGTGGCTGTAAGTCTGGGAGTGGGCAGTTTTTAGGAAGACTGGATCAAAACAGAAGATAAAGGCAATGCAGGGCTCCAGTTTCAGAGGAAGGAAAATAGATGATCCATAAAGAAATTCAGGTGCAGGAGATCAGACAAACATCCAGCTATTGGAGTGGAGACCCGGTACGTTATGTATAATGCAGACAGAATCTGTATCTGAGGCAGAGGATAGATAGAGCTGGAGAGCATGCAGAGGACATGCAGTCCACTCATGGAGGTTCTAGGACCTTTCTGTGGCTGGGGGAAGAAGGAAGGTGGGATGCAGGAACTGGGAACCAGAGAGGCCATTTCAGTCATGACCTTGCTCCATTTTTCATCTTGTAGAATTTCAGTTTCTGTGATTACAGTTCTCTATTGTAAACACTCATGGCTGAGCCATATGTTAGTCTACCATACATTTCATTTATCCTCAGTTTTTTTCTCTTGTAAGGTAGGACTCTTATAAATAGACATGCACTCATATAATCTCATTCTAGATTAAATATCTTCGCAGATAAGAACTTTGTCTTCTGAAATTTCAGCACTTCTTCAGCACCTAGCCTAACCCACCAGAACCATTCGTCCTATTTTACTTTGTTTAATTTAATCTAATTTATTTATTTATTTATTTATTTGTTTGTTTATTTATTTTTATTTATTTATTTATTTATTTATTTATTTTTTTTTTTTCTTGCAAAGGAAAGAAAGAGTGGCTACAAATCTGACTTGCTGCCATTTCATGGGCAGGATTACTGCAGATACAGTAGCTCAAACAGTAGGTGTCATTGTTCCCCAGATGCTCATTAGAGATTACCCACCCTGTTGAAGTGATTAAGGAAATGAAAGGGAAGAATGGGTTATGCCAAACCCTTAGCAAGATTGCTACAAAATAAACAAGAACCTGCAGACTTCAGGTGAAGAACATTCTTGGCAAGGATGTCTATACCCTGGCCCCTCATAGTCTCGGCTAGACTCCCAGAAAGGTGCCCCTACCTCGATTGCTCAGATTAGCAACTTGCCGTAGGTGTTGTGTGCCACATCCAGCCTGTTATTGTCTGAATTCTTTTCCCTGTCATCCAGTCAGATCTGGCTAGAATCTGTTGCTAGTTCTAGTTTTATTTGTCTGGGTCTTCAGTATCCGCAAACTCAGATTTTGATTTCTGTGTTTATTTTCACTGGGATTAAGGCTTTTCATCTCTACTCTCCATTCCTCCTCATCTCTATCCACTCCCACCTCACCTATACTATCTTCACATTCCTTATGGCCAGGTTCAGATCTTGTCCTGATCCCATCCCATCCTATCCCATCCCATCTGACTTCTACTCTTGAATTCCTTCTTTACAAATTCCTGGATTATATATATATAGTTTGTATATGTAGATGATACATACAGCCAGTATACAAAGCCCATCTCTGCCCATACTTTATCAAAATCCTAAATGTGCTTCAGGAGCTACATACCTGTAACCAGTCTTTCGCTGGTCACCTGACCTCTGAATGGTGGCTCCTTGCTCACCTAACATCTGCCTCTTAGCAACTGCACTAATCTTCCTCTGCTTTTTCTTTCTCATTTTGTGCTCCATTGAAACTCTGAAATTGACGGTCTTTATCAATCTCAGCCCAAGTTTTAATACTTAAGGTGCAAATTGAAGTTAAATTCCTATTTTAGCAGGTTTGGAATTGCTTAGGGTCAATTTCAGTATTCACATGTTTTTTAATTTTCCTGAATTAGGAACATCAAATAGATTTATTTCTAAGTTACCTATTTGGAATACAGACTTATTCTTGAGTATTTTAGTATTTTCATTCCTTGAAACTAGGGATCATTAATTTATGAAAATCTTTTAACTGTAGAGTTTACATTGAAGAAATATTTAGCTTTGGGTAAATTCAGATTAAAACATAACCCGACAGGGGCGCCTGGGTGGTACAGTCAGTTGAGTGTCCAACTCTTGATCTCAGCTGAGGTCATGATCTCACAGTTTGCAGATTTGAGCCCTGTGTCAGGCTCTGTACTGATGGTGCAGATTCTGTCTTTCCTCTCTGCCCCTACCCCGCTTGTGCACGTGCTCTCTCTCTCTTTCTCTCTTTCTCAAAAAATAAATAAATTTTAAAAATTAAAACAAAACAAAACAAAACAAAAACATTACCTGACATTAGATGGGATCTGAAAACTGTATCATGCCACTCCTGTCCTGCTATGTAGAAAAGTTTTTAGATAGCTCTTTGCGGATTACCTTTCAAACAACTTGTGCTGGAATTGTAGATTTATGACTTTTTGGTCATACTTTATTACATTTTAATAGCTTATTTTTCTTCTCAAGCATATTGTATGTTTTCTAAATTACCATTTTGAGGGCAAAATTCTCATTTTTAGATGGGATAGTTTAAAGAAGTAGATGTATCAGTCATTCTGTTTGTTGTTGACTACCAAGTACAGCAAACAAGCAGACTGTTTATTTGATTAGCTACTTGATTTTTCCCAGATAATAAGGTCAAATAGACATTTGGGTATCTTTGAACACAAATAAGTATATATTAAAAATATTTGGTTCCATTGTCCTTTT